GCCGGGTGTATATGATATCAAAAGAATCGGAAATTCTACCTAACTATTACGACAACGATATTACAATTGGTTTCTATAATAGATATACACAAATACTTAGGTTTTTCTAAGTCAAAAGTTCGAAGTCAAAGAAAAGAAAATCGAGCGGGTTGATTGAACGGTTGCCAGCAATTAAGTTGCAACTTGTAGGGTGAGGCCCCAGTGCAAGTTGACGATCATACCATATGATCAACTCTGGCGTCAACCTTCTCAAGCCATAGTGTCTGCATCATCATAGATTCGTCTCTAATAAAATTCATACTAAAATAATATGATTTAAACACTTTTTTTCAAAGCCATCGGCGGTCAGATATGTTATCGTGGTCCACATTTCGCCTCCGTGGTGGGTATCATGAAATCATACTGCTCTACTCTGAAGTCATGCAGATGACATCGCTGAGTTTCTGCTAGATATAAATACTGTGAGATTCACTGCTTAACAGCCATTATTCCTTGAATCTCACAACAGCAAATACTTATACTTCTTGATAAAATCACTAGCAGATTATTCGGTGATATTTCTCAAAATGCCCAACTACGAGGAAATCTCCCGTCGTGCCGAGGAAGACCTCAACACCTATCAATCCAAGACTGGCAACGCTCGTCCCCAAGGCTTGGACGACGCCGGTGTCAACTCTTATGCGGAAAAGAAATTCGATTCTGCTAAAGTCACTTACGGAGATGAATTGAGCACAAACAGAGGCTACAACAAGCGTATTCCTCCAAGTGAGGGAGGAGATCTCGATGCCCGCGGCAGGTGAGTCAGCTTGACTGCGTTGTACGTTAACATCAAATATTAATATATATACTATTTCAACAGACAAGCTAGAGGTCATCTCTACGAAGGCAAAGGAGGACCTGAGGACAAAGTTGCCGAATCATACCGTCAGCAACCCGGCCAAAACGACAACGATGTTGAAGACACACCAGTGCCCGACATTGAAGGCCTTGGAAGCCGCGACGATATTGCGACTAAGGGAGAGATTGCGTCCAAGGCAAATGTTGGAAGCAATCCGCCGGGACCTGGAGGATCGCAATTCAAGGGCAGCGAGTATTACACACCTGAGAGCGTGCCCGATAGCATGTCTGCGGAGGGATGGGTACCGCCGGAGAGTGTGACGGAGGCGAGTCGCGAGGCGGAGGGGTATTGGAAGTGATGGATTGGTAGTACATAAAAGAGAAAAATTGAATGAATGAATGAATGAATGAATATGAATTGAACAGCTATTTCTTCTTTTCCAGGCGTATCATATGGTGTTTGTGAGCGTGTAAGTGCCGGCTGCTAGTGCGTCATAGTCTGTCACTGCTTATCCAACTCCTTATCGCTAGCCGCGAGCGCAGGCATGTTGTAGCGTGACCTGCCCAGCCGCTACTCTACAGCTTCCTCCCCCAAGCTTCTTCAGAGCTCATCAACCCAATGATGCTCTTCTCTTTATGATGAATCACTACTGGCGCTTTGATATTTTAACATGTCTAGTCGGTCCCCGTCTGCGTCGGGGCTTCTCCCCATGCCGGGATCTCCGTCATCATCGTGGGCAATATACAGCTCTCGGTTTACGAGCTTGGTGAAGCACCCCAGCACGAGAGTTGTCGTTGCCTTTTGGTTACTTGGTGCGCACTCCAATCCGATTATTAGCCATGCATATTCGGTGTGACATGCAACTGAGCTAACAATTTGTCTTCCCATAGGTCTGATCAACAATGTGCTCTATGTCATCATCCTCTCCGCCGCCCAAGACCTCGTCGGCTCGCTGCCAAAAGGCGTCGTCCTCCTCGCCGATGTCGTGCCCTCGTTCTTCACAAAGCTCATCGCTCCCTACTTTATCCATCGCGTGCCGTACCCGATACGAGTCATCGTCTTCATCGCGCTATCTGCTGGCGGCATGCTGATGATTGCGCTTACGCCTCCGTCAAAGTCGGTGCCGGTCAAGATGGTGGGCGTTGTCCTGGCCAGCCTGAGCAGCGGCGGAGGGGAGCTCAGTTTCTTGGGACTCTCTCATTATTATGGACATGTGAGCTTGGCGGGATGGGGATCTGGCACGGGCGCGGCAGGCTTGGTCGGCGCTGGGCTTTACGTGCTGTTGACAGATTGGTGGGGATTCACTGTCCAGCAGAGTCTGCTCTTCTCGGCGTGTCTCCCTGTCATCATGTTCATCAGCTTCTTCTTCGTCCTCCCGCTAGAGCCGCTACGGCAGGGCAGTGCGCTAAAGGAATACGATGCTGTTCCCGGGAGAGACGAAGACGAAGTGGATGGAGAGCCGACGGAGCAGGAATTGGCAGCCAGTACTTCTGCCCTGCTTGCGCCAGAGCCTTCTGTCCTTTCAGCGAATACTGCCTACGCGATGAACAAGGGCGACGGGAACTCGCTCAAGGACAATCTGCGAAAAGCCAAATCGCTGGTGATTCCTTACATGGCTCCCCTGTGTATGGTATACGTCGCTGAGTACACCATCAACCAGGGCGTCTCTCCAACGCTGCTCTTCCCACTCGAATCGTCGCCATTTAAAGAGTACCGCGAGTTCTATCCATTTTATGGATTTCTATACCAGCTCGGCGTCTTCATCTCGCGATCCTCTACGGCCTTTATCCGTATCCACCACTTATACATTCCATCCCTGCTCCAAGTGGGCAATCTTATTCTGCTGACGCTGCATGCCATGTTCTTCTTCATCCCCTCCGTCTACATTGTGTTCATCATCATCTTCTGGGAAGGCCTCCTCGGCGGCGCTGTTTACGTGAACTGCTTTGCTGAAATTATGGAGAAGGTACCCGCTGAAGAACGAGAGTTTAGCCTCAGCGCCACAACAGTGAGTGACAGCGGGGGAATATGCATCGCGGGATTGATTAGCATCGTGATGGAGACGAGTCTTTGCGAGTACCAGGTCTCGCATGGGCGGGATTGGTGCCATAGGATTGGACCTGCGCATAGCTAAGGAGTATAGGAGCAAATAGACGAGATACAAACATCAAATAGCAGCGTGAATGGTTTAGTGGTAAAATTCTCCGTTGCCATCCGCAACGTCGGGGAGCCCTGGGTTCGATTCCCAGTTCACGCATTAGATTTTCTTTTTGCCGCTTTTGTAGATATAATGCAATGAATAACACCATACAGGATAATCATCTTTTTGAGTCACCGAAAGGAGAGGTTGAGAACACTAACTTTCCATATTCAGCTGCAGGCGCCAAGGCATTCACACCCCGAAAGCGGAGTCAATTCGTTTGCTGCTTAACCTTTCTTACTCCTCAAAGGGTGGCGAAAGTTCACGCTTTAAGCTATCGCTCAGGGCGTTTTCGTCTTCCCAATGTGTTTATACCAGAATATTAAAACGATTATATCTACGGCCGTCATCCAAAACAGTTGTATAGATGATTACACAGGCCATGTCGGAATGAATTGTGGGCTTAATGTTGCGCTACTCCGAATAGCTTCCTTAGGTACCTTTGTGCCACGAGATATAAACGCGACAGACAGCTTGCTAGGCCCTGTTGTAGGGAGCTCGCGGCATGTGTAAGTGGTCTTTGGATCCCACGACTTTATGTGTTGTAACCACAATTAGGCTTCATTAAGCTCCATAATGGCTGCTAATTTCGATTCGCGTCTTTTGCTATTACTCTTATCTTTTGTATTCATTTTATTTCCTTTTCGCTTGATCGTATATCTCTGCGTAGAGATGTAGTTTTACAGATCTTAGTGGGGTCTCGGCCTCTTGGGTTCAATTAGCCACTGCGTGTTTGCAGTATGAGATATGTAATTTCTCAAGACTCAACAGATATTCTCAACAGTAGCAATAATTGACAAACTCCGGGTAGATGAGAGAGCGAATAGTGTATTTTGTGCTAATCTTGTAATCACGACATCAAATCCGGAGACGTAGATCGGCCCGGGGCGCCTAGATGGCTTCCGGCATGAAAGCACAGACGCAGCGTGACGACACGAATAAAAGTCCTGAAGCAGCCTGACATTACGCGGCGTGCGAAACCCCGAAGCGGCCGGAAAAGGGAGCCTGAAGCGGCGATCTGGGAGGATGGACGTGCATGATGCGGGATGCCGGATTTTGACTGCTGGCAGGCTAGAGTTGGTAGTTAAGACAATACGAGGGATGAGTCTTGGCGCATGTGGTGATTGGTTGTTGATGGGAGGATCCCTTTGCAAAGCCTACTGTTAACTGATAACTACAATTGATTGTGTGCTCCTTTGTGTACGTTGTTATAACAGCAGCAAGCATTGAAAGCTGAAACAATAACCCAGCACCCCTTGCATCCGTCCAACGTAGAAGCCATTCTTACTCATCAACAATACTTAGTCTATTGGCAAAAACCTTGCAAGTGAAAAAGCAATAAAATACGTACCCAATAGCATCGCCCCTTGCCTCAGGCGCGTCCATCGCTCCAAAGTTAGCGACCAACCGCCCCCAAACGCCGCTGCAAATGCGCCGCTCCCCATCATCGCCAAGACGCCAAGCCCAGCGCCTGGTGCCCGCGAGAAGCCGCGCCAGCTGGGAGCAGCCAGGCCAGGCCAGAGACGCCAGGCGCTAGGATAAGGTGCCGAGCCCCTTTTCCACTGAGTGCAAGTGTTTCTCTTTTCCTCGTGCGGGTGCTTCGCCACGCTTTCGTCGCCCAAACCTTGCGCTGTCTGTCTGTGCCGCGAGTCACTCACTGGCTCTTGCTACTGCTACTCCGTACACTAGTAGTTTTCCTTTCTTCTCCCCTGCTTTTTGGGTTGTCGCAGTCTCTTTTCCAACCTTCTTTTCTTGCTAACCAGTTGTCCTCCTCTTTCCTTCGTTTCCCTTTCGCCGGTGGACACGCGGATCGTCGTTCGCTACCAAAAGCCCAGGCTCCACTCTCGTGATCCCTCTTTTTCCCCTGCCTACGCTACTAGGCACTCTCAACCTCTTTTCGCGCCGCGACACAGGCACAAAGAGCCTCTCTCCAATTCCGTCCCGACAGAGCATGCAGCGATAATGTTTGTCGGCGGCGTTCGATCCTCCAAGCTGTCGGCCCTGCTGGCCGGCACAATCATCTTCATCATCGTCTTCGCCGGCCTGGCCTGGAACCAGATGGACGCCATTGAGCTGCCCAATAGGTGCGTCTGCGTCGTACAGATCGCATCGTATTCCCTGCTCGCATATCCAAGGCTAACCTTATCTCGCCTGCAGAACGCAGCCAAACCAGAACCAAGGCTCCAGCGCGCCCTCTGAGCACAAGAAGCCCGACCAGCCATCATCGCCGTCGTCGCCCTCCGAGCCCGTCAAGCCCGTCACGGCCGACTCTACCCTCCGCGATGTGTGGTTCGAGGTGCACAAGCCCTCCATCAAGCCTGATGCGAAATTCTACCAGCCCTTTGGCGCCTTCAAGTTTGAGCAGAAGCACGAGACTCACTTCCCGGAGCCCCTGGGCGAAGATCTCTGCATCATCGACCTCGACAACCGCCCCTTTGATGTCGCCGGACAGGTCTTTGGACCTACTGTTATGAGCTGGGAGAAGGATGCCGAAAAGGTCCACGGCCTGTCTGTCGGCGTGCTCAACCACTGGCTCTATGGTATGTTGCCTTTTGACTCTGTCGCGCGCTGCCAGAATTGCAGCAGCAGCAGCAGCAGCATTGACAAAATAGTCGGCTAATCTGATCATCTGCAGCCAAAATCCACGGATACAAGTACTACTTTGTCGCCATCGAAAAGCCCGAGGACCGTCGCGCGTCATGGAAAAAGGCCCCCGTCATCTCCACCATCCTCAAGAAGCACAAGACGTGCCTGTACCTCGATTCCGACGCCATCTTCCAGAACCTCGACCTCCCCTTCGAGTGGCTCTTGAACTACTGGGACATCAGCCCCACCAACAACTCGCTCGCCCTTGCTGTCGACCCTGATCGCGAGTACAACAAGGACAAGTTTGGAAAGCTCATGCTCAACACCGGCTTCATCATCACGCAGAACAATGCCAAGACCTACGAGATTATGGACGCATGGGCGGGATGTCCCGAGGAGAACGGCAAGCACCCCGAATGCGTCGAGTTCCGCACCAACTCTCCCGGCCGACCTACTGACCAGGGCGGTTTCGGCACTTTCATCCGCTACGACTACCCCGACGACATCAAGCAGCTCGCCTGCACTGACGCCAACGGTTTCCCTAACAGTGATTCCGAGTGCGAAGGCCGCTTCATCCGCCATCTGTGGACCGGAAAGGACAGCTGGATCAAGATCTTTGTCGGCCAGCAGGTTCCCGGCCACTATCTCGAAATGTTCCACAAGGAGTTTCTCGAGACCAAGTCTGAATTTTACATTACCGAGAAGGATCTCATGGCCAAAGCTGCGGCGGAGGAGCCCAAGGCCTCGACTGAGGAGAAGAAGGACAAATTATAAATGTTTTATACGCTACTATACTAGAGACGGATCCTTTATCACGAAACGACACGACAGGATTGAGAAGCATTTATATCGGCATATAACAAAGCACCTATAATACGGCCAGCCATTTCCACTGGGTCATTTTTCGAATCGAGTTTCTTGGCTTCCTTTGCCAGTGTCTTAATTTCCTTCTTCTTTTTTCCATATACGATATGTAGGCATTAAAAGACACAAAGAAAAGAGGACTCGTTGATTTTTTTATAAGAGAGGGCGGAAGGCATGGAAACTGTCAAAACAGGAAACGCGGGATTTGTATATATAATAAGGATGTTATCTTTTGGGATCTTTCATTAGCTTAACAAAGCTCTTTTGGGGCGTGGATAAATAGCGAATGGTGATGTAACTGCATCATGGCTTAGTGAATGGGCGGCAGATGGGTAATGTGCTGCTGAATGAAATATTTACAATGACTTGATGATCAGTTCTTGCTGTTCTATGTGAGTTCTTTGATGTATCAGTAGATGGAGTTTATGTGCCCGCGTATTAGGTTATGTGTGATTGTAGTCTAACATTGAGCTCGGCAAGTTCTTCTACAAGCCCTGAGCTACCTAAAAAGGCGTCTTATCTAATAAGGCAACGATTCTATTTATGGATATGATATGAGGCTGTGCCGTTTTGTTTGTGTGTGAGTTGAAAAGGCAAAGTTATCGGGTGAGCGCGCACATGACCACTTTGAAGCAGCACGAGATAATCATATTTCAAATAAGAAAAGAGGCAATCTGGTGGGTACATAGATAGATAGACACCGAACATTATTTTATTTTTCATTGCAAAAATGCACCATCGTTTAGAGAAAATACAATGGCAGTTGCATGAACCCAAGCCCCCCTTTTATAAAGCTTTTATAAAGCCTCACAAGCACCACATCACTAAGAGAAAGAAGAGAAGAGATTCCAATGACAAGAAATAAAAGGGAAAAGAAAGGGGGGGATTATGCTCACCGCCTTAATCATTAGGTCCATCTCTGTGTAATCTCTCCTGCGAGGACCCGCGATTCTGTGACACGGCGAGGTCGAGTTGGACAGGAGGCCGCGCATGAGATGAGGCTTATTCGAAAACATGCGGCAGGGGTAGTGCTACGAGGGTGTTGTTGATTCACTCTTGACGATGGGATCTTTGAAAAGATGGAATAAAATTAGACGATGTGTTTGGGAATTGTTTATTTGAGATTTGTTGCTCTAGGAAAATCGAATTGTTGTTAATAGAGAGTATTTGCTAGTATCTCAGCATCCATATCCTGCCTCGAGTATGGCCCCTCTCCCCCTTTTTATGCCTATACACACTTTCTCGTCCACACAACACCTTCTTCAACGCCCAGCACCGCATCAGCATCTTCTTCACATCTGTAGCTCTCCTCGTCGTCGCAGCCACAAGCCGACCAACCCTCTTCCCCCTCAAACCTAAACTCAACATCGTCATCGTCGTCTCGCTAGTAGCCGCCTCTGTCGTGCCCGACTTCATGTTCTTGTCTGCTGCTGCCCTTTTGGCGGCCTCCAGGCTACATTTCCCGCAGCACCTATGCGTGTAAATCTCATCTGGGGCGCGCTCGTACAGGCCGTTGCGGCAGGAGAGGCCGTGGTGGTGGATTCGCCAGCGGGAGAGGGAGCCGTTCCAGCAAGGGACGCGGTTGAGGCGGCGGTTGAATGTGAGGAGGCAGGAGGAGCAGCGGTTCCAGGACTGGAAGTGGACGCACATTGCGTTATTTTTTGAGAATGAGAATTGTGTGTGAGTGTTTGTTTGGGGTTGGAGGATGATGGTTGAGTTGTGAATAGTTGTGTGGTAAATCGTTTAGCCGCAGAGCTCTTTGTTTTACTTCCTCCGGATATGTGAGGTGAACAAAGGATGTTTTGCGTTTATATCCATTCCAGTAGCGAAAACTCAAGTCTAGTGAGGCAGCACCGTCTATATTTGAAATCTAGTCAACAGATACAGCGCCCTTTTCTTGTTATTTTCGGTACGTGTTACAAGATAGTCTCGTCTGAGTGGGCTCCCCAGGTGGACGTGACCGAACCTTGCCCCTTTCTTAAATCGTACTTTTGCATCATTGCTCGAACGCTCGGACAATAAATCTGGAGCTTGGAAGTAAAAGTTTGTTTGCTCTTCTTGTTCATGAGATTTTGCCTTTTATAGATGCGCTTGTGAGACGCGGCGTGGTGTTGCCGTAGAGGCTAGGGCGGACAGTCCTCTCTTCTCATGTCTTCCCTTCGATTGTGACTTTGTTTTAGAGGCGGAGTCCCGATGAACTGGAACTAGGATGGCGTGGTGCTTTTTATAGCTATTTTCGTCCCCTTTTGTGTAAAGCGAGGAGAGGGCTGTGAATAGCTTCAGGCATGTTCCATACACAATCAAATAAACAATCACTGTTGATTTTCATTTCTTCCAGCAATCACAGCTGCTGTATCTCTCACTCTCTCTCCTTCTTATCCATCCGATGTATGTCCGCGCACCACACCCACAGCCCCTGACATTTCATCTCAGAGCATCATCTGTGGTAGCACCACCATCTTTCTTGTTACAATGCACCTGAAATGCGCATACATACGGTAACACGAGTGACAGCTCATCAAAGGCGGTGCATCTGGCGGTGAAGCTCTCCCGGCTTGCAAACTTTAGCCACAGAATTCCGCTGCTGGTGGTGTTGCTGGAATAGAGTCTCTCGTCTCCTCCCTCATAACTCCAAATCTGCCCACACAACCATATTCTCCGGCGGATCAGGCATCTCCCTGAAAAACTTGGCAACCTCCGCATCAGCATACCGCATGCTGAAGTGCGTCAGGATAAACGTCGTCCGCGGCCACTTGCGGATAACGGGCTCCAGGTCGCTCCACAGCGTGTGCTTCGTCTTCTCCGCCTGCGCCCTGTGCTCCTCATACAGGAAGCTGCACTCGTGAATCACCACGGGGATGCCCTCCTGCAGCCAGACGGGTTCTTCAGCGAGCGTCTTGGCCGTGGTGTCGCCCATAAAGGCAAAGATGGACGCAGTGTGAGGCGCTGTGAGGTCCTCGCCGGCCTTGCGCTTTGCTTGCAGCTCCGGGCCCGATAGGGAGGCGAACTCGGGCTTGAGGCGCTGCGTGGTCTTGCTGAAGACGTAGCCGAGGCAGGGCACCTGGTGATGGCAGCGAAAGGCCGTGGCGGTGATGCCCTGGGCGCGCCGCAGAGGCACCGAGTCGCCGGGCCGCAGCGCAAGCGTCCGATGCGTGCCCAGAAAGGCCGTCGACGATGGCGACCGTCCCAGCTCCTCGCTGCGCGCAACCACCGCCTCGTCGTCCACCGCCAGGCCAACCGCCTCGGCATCCTCAGCGCCAATCTCGCCGCCGCGGTTGAGCATCGTCTTGGCCAGCACAAAGTCGTCAAAGGCGTCGCGCATCTCGGCCGGGCAAAAGACGTCCGGCGGGTCGTCGCGCTTGACAAAGGCCGGCGCCAGCAGCGTGTGGTCGCTGTGGCCGTGCGTCAGGAAGATGTGCTTGGGGCGCTGGTTGTTGACCACCAGGCCGGCGTCCAGCAGCAGGTTCAGCGACGGGATCACAAACGACGTGTGCCAGGCGGCGCGGGACCGGCCGGTGAGCACGAGCTGGCTGTGCGGCTTGGGGAACTTCCATTCGAGGGTGCTGGAGCGCGTGGATTGCGGCAGGGGGGCGGCGAACCGCGGGTTTGACGGGGCGGCCATGGATGCAGAGGTTCTGTGAGCTTTGGGCAGTGGTGTTGAGTTGTTTGGTGTTGGAGCTACAGTCGTGTGTTGAAGATGCTGATATGGTGTTTTGAGGCCGCTTGGTGGATCAGATGTTTCGCCACTTTTTTAGAGTATCCTCCGCATCACACTGACATGAAAACATTATAGCCACAAAGCAAAGCGATACCACATCATTTGTAGATATACAAACCCCCGACTGAGTTTGTATGTTTATAGGACATGCGTATAGTTTACAGGATTTATGGGAGGTGGCATAAGTACTTGTTGGAGAGATGTATATTCAGCACTAAGCACATGCAGAGGGAGACATGGAGAGCTAGCTTGTCTGCACAAAGTTTTCATACCACAATACAAACAACTACCTATTCATTCAGCTGTTTTTGTAATATCAGAGTATTGCGGTGTATATAGCAGCATATTTTCAGCGGCAACATGCTGTGATCCTGCCTCGCATGAGCTCGATGGATTCAGAAGACTCAGCCCTTTGACCAAGTCTCGCTTGAGTTAAAACTGTAGTCACCATTCTCGCGCGTCGTCTTTTGAATCCGCTTTAAAATTAGCTTTCAAGGAGACTCATGCTTTGTTGCATTTTTTTATTTGATATACGTTCGGTGTCATGGCGACTGAGATTCGACTCATTTGCGACATGCACCGATGAGCTTGCTTAATCATAGAATGGAGTGGAAAGGCTTAATCATCATCTTCATTCTCAAGGCGTAGCTGGTACAGAAGTTTTGGAAGTTCAGAGGCTTGTTTTTCAACTTGGTTCATTGCGACTTGTGCTGCAACTTTTTGTGAAATGGGGTCTTTGTGAAATGAGGTCTCATTGGCTTTACTTGGAATCTAAAGCTCATTGTATGCAGCATACAACCTCGAAAGAGTGACGTGCAAGTTCTAGTCTCTTGAGAAGCAAGATAATGAATCAAGCAAGCAATTCAAAAGCGACTATATCTCTTTCTATTCATAGGTAGAGTACTTGAATTGAACTACTGCTACTTGTGATCGAATTGCTCAAGGGCTCAAAGAGACAAAGGCTTATTTTTTTTGTTGTGAAACAGCACCATTTCTTCAAAATACGTGTACCGGCTATGATATAATCAGGCTCTGAACAGGCAACAAGCCGAATTTTCATTTTTCCATTGTATAGCTCACGCTGTTGGTCTTGTTCATTCATGTAACAAAATCCTCTAAATTGTGTCTTTTAAAAGTCACAAAAAATAGATAGCCCCAAAGAAGACCATTGGGGTATATAGATTGACAGTTTCACTTTCATCTCTCATTGTATAGTCTGGTAATGCTCACCTCAACAGCTTTGGAAGATTCGCGCCTAAAACTGCGCCACCCGCCGATGACTGCATGCATAGAGCGAAAGTAACTTATGAGCGATAGAAAATGGCGACTACCAAGGACGAAGATGCCACTGCCAAAGCAAATACTATTAGCGTCTGCGAAGTTGCGAGCAACTGATTATCCATGTTTAGTAATTCGTGGCATCTGTCAGTACTTGGACTCTGACTCTGATTCTGAGAAGACTTGGAAGATATGGCAAGACTACGCAGCTATAACCGCGGCGACTTATGCGAATGAGGGTTTGAAAGCACTTCCTCCTCTCGGTATTGGAGATAGTGAAGATCTTGATACATACACTCTCTGATTGGTCAAATCGCACGAATCTCTGGGGCTCAGGGCATATTATCCAATACCTCGGATGGTTAGAATTAACCGCCACTATTTGGAGAGTAAGCAGACCGCGACAAATCTGTGATTCATGATAGTATGGCAAGATTACTAGGCTGTTTGATGTTGAGGCCATTAGCGCAAATAGAACAAGGAAGACATCGTATTCAATCTACTCAAACACAAGAACAGGCTATTATCTAGCTAGCTGCAAATGACATTTAAACATTGATTTTGTTGAAAATAATTCCTTATTATTTTGACACAATACGCTTTAGAACGCTCTTAGGTGTTGGGCCCTAACTGCGCGCAGCGTATACAGATTGATAGCATAGATTATGAGTCGAGCGCACACGCCTGTGAAAGGTAGAGATACAGGTGTTAACTGCAGACCAAGATTCAATACCTCCTTAGTGTTGAGGAGACGGAAGATAATAAACGTGGCTCTAATTGGTCATGAAACCGTCCAAGCTGTTTTGAATGCAAGTACAATAAATCACCATGACTACCTCACACGATAAAGGCTAATGGCTACATCGAGAGAAAAAGCCAGTGAGTTTGCTGTATGAAGAGTATCGGAGGAACGTGGCAACAGCCAACATTCCCAGTGGAATCTCCTGGTAACTGGACAAACGGGCCAAGATCAGGCTAATATAGAATGCATATTTACTCTCAGGACTACATTCTTGATACAGAGGGTCATATACATGAGTTTGCGCTCCTCGGGGCTTCATGTGTCCCCTAATAAAGAACGCCCATTGAATCGCCTTTTGGGCATCTAAGTGACGGCAAAATTCAATTAATATGAAAGCCAAGATTTAACAACTTCTTCACTCGATTCCAAGCCCAACTTCTTTTTTTTCTTTGCTTACACTTTCGTAACTTTTGCTACTGACACTACGGCCCGGCTCTTATGCATGCCCGGCAGCCGTTAGCTATGACTTTAGTCTTTACCTCTCGGGAAAATGAAGTAATCGAGAAATCGGCTTTTCCATTTACGCAACGCTCTAAGCTCAATGAATGTCTAGCACACTATAGGATTTACCAGACATTTCTCAATGATTTCTAAGCTCCACTTGGTCGCATATGAGATCAGATTAAGTTTTAGTGTTATCAGACTGACTCGGCCGTCGCTTTTCTTCTCAGATGCCTCGCTTCCAGCTGCATGGCCGACGATTACTGAACCTCGGCCAATATATCGCTGAAGCCAAGAAGTACGCCATATATATCAGTCACAAGTTTGATGGTATTATGGAACAAATGCGTCAGTGAAGCTGACTTCTGGATTTGGCGTTCTTATTCCAGAGGCCAAGAATACGCGGCTGATGGGAAATTGTTCGCCGACAAGGCTGATCGGGATTTGAAGAATAGAGATGCTCAAACCCGACTATGGTACCTAGAGCGCCGAATAATCTACGGCAGGCGCATGACTTAGGAGATAAACACATGATTTTGATGCACGAAATCGTAGCTCGACTTTGTACTACGCAAAAATAGAAGTGATATGCATCCCTCTTAAAGAGAGCTGCTAGTCAAACATCTTTCCCATCTCCGCAAGCACGTTTACCGGTTTTATAGAATCCTAGCCTATTAATGCATACCCTAACAGTAAAAAGCTAAGATCCCGGGCAACATTGTGGCGACGCCTTGTTTTCTTATCGAGTCGTTAAGCCATGTATCGCTCGCACTCGGATCGGCCACGTTTTTTTGTTCCCTCCGTTGAAGCCAAATTAATATTTTTCGCAAAGGCCGGTGCCAAGCTTCCGGAATTTGCTACTCCATTTGGAAATTAGCCCCTACGTTATTACAAACACCGTCCCCGATAGAATCCTGCAGGCAGAAAATTGAAGTCACCAGCTAATCAGATACCTATCTTGTGATGTCTAATCAACATTGACAATATTGAATAGTAATCATCAACCTCCAAAGCGGCATAGTGCTGCTGTTGCACGCAATGCTATTCGCTAGAATCTACCTTCTCTGCTCCCTACCTCGGCAATTGTCGTGTTCAGTAATCGTAAAATGCCCACTTTTTCGGAGCCGGGCCGTCGCCGTTGATCTTGGGCTTTGCCCCATTCGGCCGGCGTTTATTGTGCCATGGTGCATGATTAGCAATGAAAAGATGAAGAAGGAAGCTGAGCAGGGCGAGTGCGATTGCTTTTATAGGAGGTGTGTCCCATCTTCTGGGTCAAGGCTTGATTTGATGATATGGACCACAAGCATCCTTGCTACTGAAAGATCGCCGCACAACCCACTCGCCGAAAGACATCAATAACACAGCATAACAAGAGTTATTACAGAAAAGGGAAAAGAAACAGAAAGGAAAAGGAGAAAATAGAGAACACGGATTCAGGCTCTACGACTTGTTTGGCGAATCATCCAAGGGGCTGGGACAAGGAGAAGTCCTCCAGCAGCTAACTCAGCTCACTCAATATCCTCGACTACACCAGTCGCCTCTGTCGGAGACAAAATAGGCGAAATGGCGTCTCCAGAAGGAGTGCCGAATGGCTCCTCTTCAGATATCCAAACAGACGACAAAACGTTGGTAGTAAAGCCGGAAGACCAGTTCGTCAACAGCGACAACAACAGCAACAGCGATGCCGAGAAGGGCCAGGTTTCGCAAGAAGTACTCGACTGGGACAATGACCCCCACAACCCGTATAACTGGCCTGCGTGGAGGAAAGGCATGATGGTGTTTACTATTTCTACAATGGGTCTCACAATGTGAGTTTCACTATGCCTCGCTGCTTGTAATGGCTGCAAGAAAGTGCTCTCATGAAGCGATACTAACATGGCAAACGCGCAGATCAATAGCCACATCCATCTCTAGTTCGTCCGTTGGCCTTTTGCAACAGGAATTCGGTGTGAGCAGAACCGTCGCCTTGCTACCTCTTACTCTCTATGTCGTCGCCCTTGGCCTTGGCCCTGTCATTGGAGGCCCCCTTTCCGAAACGATTGGCCGATATCCTGTTATTATGGGCGGCATGCTTCTCGGCTCCTTCTTCACCATTGGAGCAGGATTCGTCCACAACTTTGGCGCCTTGTGTTTCTTTCGATTTCTAACTGGGTTCCTGTGGGCTCCTGTGTTGGCCAATGCCCCAGGATCTCTTTCAGAGACGTTTATGCCAAAGACAAGAGGGCCTGTGAGCGCCCTTTTCATTCTAACTCCCTTCTTGGGCCCTGGTCTTGGGTAAGTCTTCATTTCTTCTCTGGATCCCTGAATAGGGTTGAAATTAAGATTCTAAACGGTCTTTATAGCCCCGTTATTGGCTCTTTCGTTTCCGTCGACAAGGGCTGGCGGTGGACCGAGTGGACAATGCTCTTCTTCGCCGCCTTCACCATCACCCTGGGTTGCTTCATTGGAGAGACTTTCCACCCAGTCCTCAAGCGCCGTTTGGCTAAGAAGCGTGGCCTCGAGGTCCCTCCACTTCCTCCTGTGAGCGAGCGCATCAAGACTTTCGCCGTCGTGGCCGCCATTCGACCTCTTCTCATGCTCTTCACCGAACCCATCGTTTCGTTCATCTGCCTCTATGTCGCCGTCAACTTTGGTACCCTTTTCAGCTTCTTTGGCGGCGTTCCGTATTCATTTGGCCTGGTATATAACTTTGATACGGAGCAGTCCGGCTTGGTTTTCCTCGCTATTGTCATCGGTTGCTTCCTTGGCCTTGCGACTATCATGGCCTGCGAGATATTCTTTTATCGAAAGCAGGCCCCCAATTACCCTCCTCATAAGATTCCTCCCGAGCACCGACTTTATCCCGCCATGTTGGGCTGCTTTGGGCTGCCCATCGGCCTCTTCTGGTTCGCTTGGACGGCGCGAAAGGACATCTCCTGGGCAAGCCCTGCGGTAGCCATCATTCCTTTCGCTTGGGGCAACTTGTGCGTCTTTGTCAGCACTATCCAGTATATTTCAGATACATATACTGGCAACGTCGTTGCGAGTGCTTCCAGTGCCAACAGTTTGGCGCGATACGGTTTCGCCGGCGTGTTTCCTCTTTTCACTATTCAAAGTAAGTACATGAGTTGCATTCGGGAAACTTTTGGTGAGAATAGATTGCTAATGATATGCCTAGTGTATGAAACTCTTGGAATTCACTGGGCTACCAGCTTGCTGGGATTCATTGCCCTGGCTCTGATTCCAATCCCCTTTGTTCTTTACAAATTCGGTCCTACTATCCGAGCGAAAAGCAAGTTTGAGACTCACAAGTACGAGTAAAAAAGGGCCACCGACGAAGACGAAGATAGGGTCTCTATTAATGGCCCTTATATTTTCCCTACCCTCATTTCTCCTTGGGTAATCATTGCATTTAGACGAATAACTAGCATCTGGAGTAGTTTTGACTTACAAGATCTATGGTAATACGGGACGCATGAATAACAGCTAGATCATCATGAATAGAATAATAGACTGGGGCAAAACTTGTATATAGTAGGCCCGTAACTTTTTTATAAATGCTAAATCTCTTCGCTTAACAACTTAACTTCTCTTTGTATCTTGATTCTTTTGCTCTTAGTCTACATCAATAACCTGCTCCGGCAGTATCCGAAAATTCTCATCTATATAATACCACTTATCATGCTTTGCGGGCCTCTGTGCCGCGGGTTCAATCTTGGACTTCTTCGGCAGGTCAAACTCCTTGGTTGCATCTTTACTCGCGATATAGCTGTTGCAAACGCTTGCCTGCGAAGTCTGCGAAATGCTAATCTGCCCGGGATCTTCCTTACCACTAATGAGATATTTCCAGAAACCGTGGCTTTCGCCAACAATGCCGCGTGCCGTGTTGGAATCTTGGTATTTGTTTTCGAATATAGTGTTGAGGCTGCCACTTCGAAAAAGTTTGTAGTACTAGATTTTTCGAATCAACACGTTTGCCCAGCTTGTACAAAGTGAAGGCTTTTCTTCAAAGGTACTACTTACAACGAACCAGTCATAAAAGGTTTGCTTGAGGCCAGGTCGATATTTCTCGAGATCGTCGATGGCTTAAATACAATTAGTTTTTGGTACTTGCTAGTAATTGAGGGAGTGCCTTACTATCGACCGCTTTGGATAGAGGATCGTTAACGTTAATGCCAATGATCTTCCAATCCGTGGTTTTGTCCTGCGAGAGCGATTAGTCCATGACTCAAATGGCAGATGGAGTGAGAAATCACATCAATCATAGGTATTCCACCCAAAATCTTGACCGTTCTGACTTGACCGACGTATCCGGGGCTTGGAGTGAACTCGTTAGCTGATCAATTCTTCATTCAAGTTTCTCCTGCACTGACTCAATTGCGCTTATATCCACCACGTCCATCGGATCATTATCGCCAGGGTACCCAGTAAAATTATGCTTAATGTTAGAGTTCTCCCAGGTCTGGGGAAGTGAGCCGTAAAGAAAAGGGTAGGATTTATGTGGCCAAACGCTGGCTACATATCGAGGAACATCATCTTTGTCATCGTGATAAATAGGGTCTATGAAGTATCACATGTGAGCACATCGTATGCTGACTAGCAAATTACACAGAAAACAGCTTGGTAGGTACTGCTCACTCAAAGGTTTGTTACGCTTTGTCTCAATCTTGGCGTCTGTCCATCGCGGGATCTCTACGTAGATATTGACGATGTTGTTGTTCTTCTCGTCAGGATAGAGAGGAACGTCGTGCCAGAAGGAAATCGGATTGCCGTCCTGCTCAAGCCAAACACGCCAATCCTGCTTGCCGTTAGTCAAGTTATTCCCTACCTTTGCTCTTCATGAATTGGTGACTCCAACAACTAACCACTGTATTGCGGGCTCCAACTTCTCTGAGTGTAAGCGACTTCGGGTCAAACGCTTTCTTTGCCGCTTTACTATCGTCGCATTTGGCAGCTGCGAATGCAGAGAAAACAGGCAAAATCGAAAGATAGTATATTGAGCGCATGATTGACGTCAAATATTGTGAACAAAGGATTCGAACACATTCGTGGATTTGTAGCTTCCCACTGTTTATATATACGCATGCTGATGGCCAAGAAATCGTGTGGGACCCTTATGCGACACGGATCACACCGTAGCATTCGTAACAGTAAACGAGATGTTTGCATTGTGAAGCTAATACTACTGCAAATCGCTGTTCCTTGTAGCACAGATGCACGGCATCACCAACTCAGGAAACTTAAGCGAATGGACGAGTCTTGGCTACCATTCAAGATCTTGGCTACCATTATAGATCTTTTAGACAAAGAAATTCCAAATAGCTCATTAATCGGCAGCACAACCATTCATGTCGAATATCGATCCCACGTGGATACGTTGAACAGATGCGAAATGCGATAACATTCCTAATTGAGAGCAGACTTACGCGCAAACTACCTGCGTTGAGTGAGCTTTATTTTAAGCATATGTGCCGGCGCTGCCTTGATTAGGCGTCCATTAACAATGGAAAGTCAGATAGGACTAGCTTCGGTATCCAAAAGGGCAATCTGCAGAGTTTTTACACGGGGCAGAAATGCCAAGGTGTGAAGACAGGTTTAGCCGCCATTGGCATACAGTCACATTCACGGCCGAGTGAGGGGGCAGTCTGGAGGGCACAGGTGAGAGGATCAAGACTCCATGGGCAAAGAGTAAGATCAGACCAGTGAAAGAAGAAGAGAAGAGGGAAAGGGAAAGCCATATGGACTCATCCTGGAGCCACAAAAGAATACAGAAGGCCATGCGCGTCCAAAGTGATATACCAGTGGGTCTATACAATGTTAAAAGAGAGGAACACTCTAAGAATTGGTAAACGAATATTGCCAGTCAAAGGTTTAGTTCTGCCGCCGTCGGCAACTAAGGTATATCTCTAATAGAACATGTAGCAACAGGTTTGGTAAGGAAGATGTAAAGAGGAAGATGAGCAGACCAGAACATGCTGTAAATTAAACATTCAAGAGAGAAGCCGTCAATATGTTGGCTCAAGAATAAGCCACATAGAACGGATGTTCGCCGGATCTAGCTATTTGTGATGATACTAGTGGTGGCCTTTGCACGATAATATGACGGAGATGATCGGCCGGTCTCCAATTTAATGGTTCTTCCGTATGTAGGAACCCTCCACGATATCTGGTCATCTCCGGAGGCTGATCACTCGTTCATCATTGGTAATTGAAAATAGGGTAAATTTATATAATCCCAAATGAAAATGATAGATATTGAGAAAGAAACTTCATTTCGATGCAAGTAATCGCCATGATGCGTTTAAAGCTCCTCACTCTCATACTCACCGCAGCCAGCTTTCCCAATAATTAATTTCTGTTTCATGTCAAGATGCACATGTAAATAAAACGTGGGGGAGAATGAGGGGTGAGTGGAGGACAAATGTTGGAGAAGGCGCGCGCGCCAAGCCTGGACTATGTGGGATGAGGATTCGGAGATCGTCAGTGTGGCTTGTATAAGTCTGGTTCAGCTTTGAGCTAACAGAGCAATAACAGTGAGGGGAAAGGATAGCGCTCTGGATGTATCTCCGCAGCCTAGTAGAAGAGGACTTGAGCGGAATAAGACGGATTCCAATGTTGGTTGAGGTGAAATCCTTTTGCGACATATTTTTTTCCATAATAGGTAACTGGTAGCGATTGCCGAGGGTGATAGCAGTTCGATATCTAGGGCGGTTGTTTCGACAATATAGATATGGACCAATAACAAGAGGAGGGTCGGAAGAAGTCGCAACTACGAAGAACAATAGGAACGCAATGGATCTGCATTTTGTTCGGCCGCGCTGGTTCGTCAGCCATTGGAGATAAATGGAATATCACGATCATGGTATTCCAGGAAGTGTCAAGAGTAGTAGCAGTAGTCGTAGTATTTTCATAATCATTCATCATTGTAGCTAGATAGTCCAGTTGCTATCATGTTTTTTTTTTTTCTTTTTTAGCTATGCCAAGTAGTTTTGTAAGAACCAGCTTCAAATCCATCTACACCTTCTCAATCTGCTGCACGTTGCCAAACTCTTCCTCGGCAGCCCTCTGCTTTTCATCAACAGCCATGTCCTTCTCATCAGCATCCTTGTTACCATACAGACCAATCTTGTACCACGGAAGGTCGAACAGGCGGTCCATGCTCTCAAGTGAGCGACCACCGGTTTCGGGGACAGAGAACCACACCCAAGCGCCGCCTAACATAGTAACAGCCGCGAAACACCAGAAAGTGCCCTTGGGCGTGATTCCTCCTTCCGAAGTGTTAAGCAGCATGACAGGCAAGGCGCGCGAATTGCCATATTGGTTGGCAAAGTGGAGCGTCATGGCCCACGACGTAGCAAGGGCACGAACACGAAGGGGATACAATTCAGCCGTGAGCAGGTATTGCATGGAATTCCAACCAAGTGCCCAACCGACACCTGAAAGGTAAATCATGGCAACTGCGCCTCGGCTGGGTCCCTTCATCGAATCAGGCAGGACAAAGTCGCTGACAGTTCCGAGTTGAGGCACGGCAGTAAGGAAGGCAGCAACATAGATCATGGAGATGCTCTGCAGTGTAATACCGCATAACAGTGCACGCTTGCGGCCGATAACATCGACGAGGAAGAGAGCGCAGATCATGGCCGCCACGAATTTGACAATGCCGAAGACACCAGTAACAAGAAGAGACTCGCTGTTTCCGGTAATGCCCAGAATTTTGAACAGATCCGGCGCATACAATGTGATGGATCCAGCGCCAGACCACTGACCCAGCAGCTGAACCATGGATGACAGATACACTCGGTACAGGTTGCTCTTGTTGAAAAGTAGCTCTTTGACTTTTCCAAGCCAACCAACACCCTGGCTAGCTTCCAGCTCGCGGTCAAGGCCAATCTGAATCAGGGCTATTTCGTGATTGACATACTCGCTGTCAGGAGACTGCTGGCGCAAGCGAGCAAAGTTGTAGACAGCCTGGTCGATTTTCCCCTCTTTTACGAGGAATCGTGGCGATTCAAACTGGAAAAAGGAAAGAATGAAAATGATTCCACTCATCATGATGTGTAAACTGGTGGGGACAAGCCATTGATCCGGGCTGCCACTGGTGATATGAAGCTGAGCTCCATAGTTGGCAAAATAAGCAAGCAATATGCCAAGGTAGACAGCACCGGTAAAGAAGCAGGTGCAGAGGCCACGAATTGACGCAGGCGCAATTTCAGCGATGTAAATGGGACTGCAGAGCGATGCATCGTGTTAGTCGTACACAACAACTATGCACAAGTAAAGGCAATAGCGGGGCGAAATGTTACTCACCCTACGACCGGCGTCTGTCCCACACCAAGGCCGGCGATAAATCTACCGGCATAGATGGCGCCCAAGTTGCCCTTCACTCCGCCAGCCATAAAAATAGCAATGCCAACAGCCCAGATGAGGCACAGCACACGCGTGGCATTCAACCGGCCAATACGATCACAAATCAGGAAGGCACTATAGCAAAAATGCAAGTGGTCACTCGTTAGCCATCGATCGTGGCAGCGATAGTGGAGAGAGAGGGCTGGAGCATGCATGAAATGAAAGAAGCGGTGACGTGACTTACAACAACGCTCCGCCGACGGACCCAATCTGGACCATGGCAGAGACATTGGCCTTGATGTTGGCCTGGTCAACCTTGTCGTACGAGGCATAATGAATGGATTCTTTGAAGTTGGCCGAGTTGAAGGCGCCAGAGATCAGTCCTTCGTCGATGCCTCGCGCAGCACCGAGCAGGCCAAAAGCTAGGACGGCAAACCAGAGGCGCCAGTTAAGAGCTCCCTCCGGCTCTCCCAAGTCTTTCAACCTGAAGATGTTGACGGGTTTCTTGCCCCCGACACCCATGGCGGCGGTCTTGATGCAAGTAATTTAAAAAGAAGCTGACACCGCTGCAAAGACGAGGGCGGTAAGCATCTGGTAGCTGTAAAGGCCAAAGACTATACCTGAGATGCGCACGAGGAGAGAGAGCTGGCCTCGGAATCTCACAGCGGAGAAGCAGCATCCTATTATATATTCGCCCACATTCACATCGTTTGCGGAAATCCTTAGCCCAAGAGAAGCCCCAGATGGTCACACGAAGAGCCTTTTCCTCAGCTAAAGGTGTCCACCCTTGCAAGAAGTCGGAGTGTCTCGGACGGCTGTGTTGCCATACCCGATTTAGCCTCCAATAGTTCAAGGCCACTCAGCGCCTGCAGCCAAGCCTCGAGTTACATCCAACTCGTGGCCGAATGCTGGCCGATGCCTCGAACAACGCACCGCCATGTCAATCCCTGGCGTATAGACCAGCAAGACTGGTCCAGCCCCGCATATCGTCCTTCTAAAACCGTTCAGTCTTGCGCATCGCTTGCTAGCCGCCAGAGTGTGCTCCACCGCAGCTCCACGACATCGTATGCTGTTCATGCCGGATTCCCAGCAGCCTGGCCTGTCTTACATAGGACGAAACGCCCAATAGGTGCCTAGCTGTGCGGCTTGTTGGTTGTAGATCCGTTTTGGCTAGCAAGACTTAGCAAGACTAGTCAGCAGGCTGGCGGCCCGCCAAGAGTCTAAATCTAATTAATCCGGGGGCGTAAATAGTGAGGGGAAGCCACGAGTTGGAGAGCGCGGGGAATCGGACAACCTCCGTTATATGTTCGGTGAAGGCGTGTTTCTTGACTTATAATTCATATCCGTATCATCTTCTAGCGATTACCGCTATCCTGGCTGACGTGCAAACGCAAGTATGTAGCACTCACGTATTATGCGACTGGGGTGAACCTGGCCGGGCGCAACCCCAGATCTTTGGTTACATCAGCCCATGTCACATTGAGCTGGTTTGGGAATCGGACATATCGTCATCAATGGCGTGGCGGATAGAGAACCCAAATGCCGCTTTTCCTCGTCTAAAAGAAGCCGGTTGATTATCGTGTAACTAATGTGAAAAAAGTGGCTCTTAGTTCCTATATCGCTGTTTCGCTCAAATGTGTGGTGTTCTCATTTGTCGCTAAGCCTAAGAGTTTCACAAACATTTACTCATGACCAAGTGCAGCGAGTCGGTCATAGTCCAGGGAAGTATCCAGTGGTGGGCTGTTCTTTTTCAATCCTGTGATGGCGACTATAGATTCATGTGACTTTGGTGCTGATATCTAGAAAGCTGCGAATGTCGCGTCTATAAAGATTCGCCAGTAGTCTTGTGGCGATTGGTAGGCACCAATACGTCGGCTTGGCCGACCGGATGGCCACACAGCACATAGCAGGTCTGCCAGTTCTGGGCATGGGTGTGTGTAGCAGCAGCTGTGCTAAAGATTATCCGCTCAGATCCAGTACTGGCCCCAAAGCACATACTCCTCTTTGGTGCCTCGGAACTTGAACTTGACTTCTGTGACGTCTTGAAAGCCCTCTTTTTCCTTCGGCTCCCTAAATCTTGATTGAAATCCGGTAAAGGCCAGTTTGGGAAGACTCTGTCGAGCCTCTGGGTTCAATACGGCGTTGTGCGCTCGGACAGCGTCATTATGCTCACACACTATAACAGGCGTTGAAAACCAGACGCACCGGATTGGGACGCCGCCCTTTTTAGCTACGTCAATCCATAGAGCTCGCGTGTCGGGATCTGCATTGGTATTGTCTATTCCCTCGTATTAGCCTTACATCAGCTGCAAGTGACAGCATGGGAGTATGATAGCACGCACCGACAGCTACAGATTTGCCGTCTTTGAGCAACTCTCTGGCAACTTGAATGCACTTGTCGCGAGACTTTAGTGTATCTTGGTTCACGCGCTCATACCCGAGGGGCTTGAGGACATTGAAGTAAAATGTGCTCTTTCCGGCTCCAGGAGGGCCGCAAAACAAGACGACGTCTTGTTTATTTTTCCGCTCATAAATGTCTTCGGCAGTTTTGACAGTCCCGTCCTCCTCCGGGAATATATAACTCCCTAGGTCAAACTCACGGTTAAAATCTCTGGGCTTCTCTCCCCTGAAGAACTCTTCGGGTGTCAAGTAGTCAATGCCGATATTATGTGCCAGATTTCGATCAGAGCAGCTGAAGTCTTTTGCAACCGCTACTGCGCCTCCATTGGCTCCTTTACCAAGAGCTGCGATTCGGCCACCTGCATCGCCAACGAAAAAACTGTCTTTCAGATTCACTTCGTCCTCGGAAATTTCGAGATCGTCACAAACTTCTTTCCACATACCCCTCCTAGGTTTCCGATAAATGTCTTTCGCTGTGGCCGCATAGACCGTCATTGGGAGATCAAGGCTGGTTAATACAGCGCTACACTTTTGTTTAAATTCAGTAACGCGTTTCTGAGCATTAGCTTTTGGACCTTTGTAGTTTGCGTCAAAATGTAATGTTAATCCGGCCTGATTCGAAAGGATCACCACGTGGTATTCCTCTTTCTCATACAGCTCCCGCAGTCGATCTGGGACTGTGATATCCCACCACTTCCAATCTGCCGCGTTGGACGCATGCTTCTTTCCCGATGAGGTAGTAATGAGAGTCGAGTCGAGATCGAATGCAGCTATCTTTCTTCGCTTGGATGGGGATTTTTTGTCATTACTTTCTGGTTGATATCTGCCAACTAGCAGTGTCGCAGGAACATCCTCTGCAGGGCTCCGTTCTGACCACACCGTTCGATCTTTCGGCTTTTGAGAAGCTGGCATAAAAAATCCTGCAACGGCTGATTCTAGAAATGGACGTTAGCCACTGGCTAGAGGTCATTCATACAACAATGCCCGGCCATACTTGTAGTAGTGCTCTTCACGGTTTTTTTGAGGGGAGGTGGGGAGATTGGTGCGCCGGGATCCTTGCGCTTCTTTGGTGGATTCTGTGTAGCCATTTTGCGTCTCAAGAGCAAGCTGCAGAGGTTTCTGTAGGGGCTGATACCGCGTGTTAGAGGCGTTCTGCGCAATAAAAGCATTGGTGGCCGCTTTCGCGAGATTCTGGTTGATTTGACTCGAGCCAGAGAAGCCCAGACGCGGCGCAATGCGACTGTGGCGCGAGGTCACGTGCAGCTCCAAAACCTCTTTAGCTAAGCTATCACCAGCACGCCTAGACTGAAGCATGAAGCCTTGAAGCTTAAAGTGCTACAGCATCTCACGATTAGCCCCGACAAATCGACATTCCGTGCTTTTTACGCCAACAATCTCACTGAGTTCCTCATTCTATATCTTATTCAATTGAGATTCTTGCAGTACTTGAGACGACTTGATCCTTCAATTTGTGGCTCACCATGTACGAGCTATTCCTCACCGCACTGGTCGAGGACAGCGACATCAACACAGCCCTCGCTGTTCTGAGCGGCTTCTGTTCCATGCAGCCATGGGAGTCTGTCAGCCGCGTTCTTTATTTTCAAGGCCCTCCTCGACCCTCTGGGTTCGCCAACCAGCGCTCCTTTGAGAAACCTATGCGCAAAGACGCAGCCCTGCTCTGGAAGGAGTTACATCAGAATCTCTCTCGCCAGTCATTTGTCCTTCAAGCTCGCTATGAAATACTTAAAGACCGAGACTTGGGTCCCCAAGCCGAATCAGTCGACCTCAACCTCGTCCCTGGGATACTGAGATGGACGGATTTTCCAGATCCTCCTCGTGGTCAGCCGATTCTCGCTCAGCGCAAGAAAGTCGAGCTCTGGGAACAGAGAAAGCTGCCGTCTATACTCCAGGAAAACAACTACCAGTCAGTTGCCAGTCTTTTCAGCTCTTTTCTGCCATGTTCTAACAAACCCTAGATTCAAGACAGAAACAGTGGAGGAGACGTATCGGTTCTTCCGTGATGAGGTCGAGTTCTGTCTCACTAGGCACTATTTTGTCGGCCCAATCGACGACTATGTTCCTCTTGCAAACATGCCGGCAGCTCCTAAGGGACCCAAATCGAGCCTGCCGGCCTGGGATTCCCTAACACGGGTTGATATGCAGAGTCGGTGGATACTGCAGGTCAAGGCGCATGTCGTGCAGGACAACAAACCAGATGAGATCAAGAAAGCACAAGACCAGCTTCTAAAGTTTCGCGCAGATCTCGACGGAGTATTTGACTTCAAAGTGATTGACCGCAAGGTACACGACACTCGAGTAGCGATGCAACAGCAGGGCGTCCAAGCGCTTCCACAAAAAGTACTTTTGGGGAAGTCATGATTTCAGAGCTATATTCTCGAAAATATATTCTCAGAGCTAGTATACATTATGCTGCTGGACATGAATAATCCACATGCTTCCGACGTCAACTCCAACACCGGAATCTGGCCGTTGAGCGATAGCTCTTCACGTTTAGCATTCCTCATATGGAACCACACAACACCAATGGGAGCATGAGCAGTCAAAGCGACATACCAGATCTTGAAAGCAGCTCACTTATCTTTTTACGGAGTCTACAACACTAAGGATTCTGCCAATTCAATACATTGTCCCATGATAGCGATTAGGATACGAATCACCGGGGGTCTAAATGAGACCGTAAGACACGAAGAAACTGGAATCACGATGTGGAAAAGAATTTTTAAGAAAACGGGTATCTTCAATCGCCAGACACCTCCAAAATGTCGTATATTGCAAGTAAGGCTAGGTAACAAGAATCGTAACTGCAAATACTATCCCCAAAAACCGATGTCGGTTTTTGCATCCCCAAAATTGGCCCCATATTGCATTTAGAGGCCGAGAACCTGAGTGAGGTTGTTGATGCCAAGAGCAGCCTCGAGGCTGACAATGGTACCGCCGGTGGCAGCGTTGAGGTAGGCGTTGACAGCGTCCAGGTGAACGCCCTGGGAAACCATGGCGATGGCCTCACCAACGATCTGGACGACGTTGTTCAGGCCAAGGGCATCGGTAGCCTCAGCGCCGACGCCGTCAACAAGGCTGACGAGCTTGGAGGCCAGGGTAGTGGCGGCGGGAAGAGCACCCTCGATCTAGAAATAAACTGTTAGCTTTGTGTACCATGGAATGAGTGACTAGTCGGCTTCTATTTACCGTCTGGACGATGGGTCCGAGCAGAGAGACCAGCTGGGTCTCAAGGAGAACAACGTCGACAACGACGCCCTGGGTGATACCGCCGAGCAGGTTGCCAACGTCACCAACGAGGGAGCGGGAAGCGAGAGGGGCAGCGAGGCCAGTGCCGACAAGAGTGGCAAGGAAAACAGCGGTGATGTTGAAACGCATTTTGGCGGTATTGGAAGTAGAAAAGTACTAAATGAGTGACTGAAGTTGAAACTTCTGAAGTTGTAGGCTTGCTGTGCAAAAGAGTGACTGAGAGCTGGTTGCTTGTTGATGAGGAAAGGCAATCAGAAGTTGCGGGCGAAGCAGTCCTCTTTATATCTCTCAACCTCTCTATTCTACGATACACCGCTACAGTCTACTCCTATATCATCTTGTTCGATCGGCAGTGATAACATTAAGCTTGGCCATATCTGGGCCCAAGAATTTTAGACTTACTAGGTATTGAGATCTTCCTTGACGAGGTCGCTTAGGTATCACGACTCATATCACTTCGATGTACAGTAAACCCACGGCCGGCCTCTTGACAGTAGCAGCATGGTATCAAAACAACAGGGATGGCACGATATTTCGTGGGTTAGTCTCACAATCTGCCGATCTAAGCAGCTCACGAGTCGTCCACCAGAGAGTATGACATAGTGCCCAAGGCCTCCGGTGAAGATCGCAACTTCTGTTCCTGGCAGGATGTGTGGGGAGCTTGGTGGGTAGCTTAATCTAATTTCCCAGCTGTCAAGGATAAGGACGATCGCTGGGCCTGCAGATGGAAGCAAGAACAATTTGCTCTCTTACTACGCAATATGCGCATGAGAAGAGTGATGGAAATTAAGACTGCGAAATCAAATTTACAACCACAAAGCGCGAGAGTTGGGAGTCATATGGTGTACGATGAAATATCTCTTCAAGCACGGTTTGTGGTGAGAGCTTCATACCCCAGAACATGCCCCGCGATCAACAAGCCCGTAGTGCTGGGCGCTAAAGAATCAAAGCCAACAGCATGAGGCTAGCCTAAGCCAAAGAGGTAATGGAATCGATACGATGAGCGAATTGGAAACGCCCTTTCAAATGCCATACCAGGATTATATTGAGTCATGCTCGATTGACTGTTCAAGTTGATGAAAGGCCACCATTCTTCGGCCACTGCGATGGACCCACAGGAGATGGCTAGCTATCTCACGAAACGAGCCATCAATATGAAATGTCATATTCTGCTTCACATACAAGCATAAATTCTAGTGAGATCAGAAAGAATTCCAAGGCATTCTTGGCTTTGCAAGCATATTAACGCTAGGCATGATGCAAAAAAAAAAAAAGACTCCTCAACTTCCCAGCAACCGGAGGGAAGCTCCTATTCCATCACAGCTCTCCACCTGATCGACATGTGTGTATGGGGCCAGACACAACCCAACATAAATAGTGCTAAACAGCAACTCCTACGAGCGAATGACGACGTCAGAGAAAGCAGAGAAAAGGGGGTTGACACTTAACCGGCCCAAACATCCGGTTCCTGAATATCTCTGACCAGTTACGGAATACTCTATCCGTCTACACACTCTTTGAAGCTGCAATTTACAATCCGTCTCTTTTTTGGATCAATTTGACTATGGCTAGTATGCATTGCGATCTGCGGAGTAGCTCTCAGCTCATGGGCTTCGCATTAGGTCTTGTTAGTGGTGGCTGTTGACGATTTGGGCATTCTTCACGCTTGTTTTATTATTAACCTTCTTAACGCTTGAGGCTGGCGACCGGTTATCCCGGAGATGAAATTCACTTAAGACTGAGACACGAATAATCGGCGGTTCCGTCAAGCAATCAGATTCTTTATACTAGAAATGGTGCAATCATATCTTACGAATCAGCAACATTTGCGCTAACTCAGTGAGCTCAGGTCTTAGAGAGTCTCAACTGCAGAACAAATGTCCGCGTCTATCACATCAATGGCCTCAGCACATTCACACGCGGTAGCATAAGAGTAATAAGACGTAGTTGGTCATTGAAATAATCCATTCAAGAGGGCTACTCAGAAGATGCATCGTTCCTCCGCATTTCAGATCTCCAGGGTAAAAGGCTGTAGTTTTTGAGTTAGTCCGTGTTAGTGATAACAATATCACGCCGTTACTTGTTTCCTGACGTTCACGTCGGGTGGCGCCGATAGAGGCGCAACGGCTCCAAAGCCAAGAAATGCAGGGCAGATCATCCCGCTTTCAGCATCTTGGCATCTTTACCAATTGCCGAGTTGCATGACAACTCAGATCGGGCGATTGGATATGTAAAAAGAGGACTCCAGTATATTCTCTTTTGTGAAACTGTCTTTGGCCATGCTATTGTATTGATAGCTACATACAAGCGGCACTTACTACTAGTATTATAGCAATGGCTTTACACAAGCGACAGCCTTATTGTACTTTAGCATAGGTGCATAGGGTAACCTACAACGAGATATGCTCGCGACAAAATTCATCCCCACCTTGAAGATGGTAGTTGAGTCACTCACGCAGGCGAAGTAAATAACTCTAATATGAGCTTATATGATTTCAAAGGTTTCTCTTCAAACTCAATCTCGCCTGATAAATAGGAAACGGATCCCTGACAACACCTGCGCCTTAGCCATGTCGTGTTGGCTTAAAGGCTTCCTCATGCCCAGAATGATGGAAAAGCATTGATACGGGCAGAAAGCGGTTGTCGTAAGTGATTGCAGTTTAAGCCAAGAGAATAAACAGAGATGTTGAAAAGAAAAATTAGCTAATCCAGGGATAACTGAAACACTTTTAGACCATGCCGCCTCTGCCTCCTGTTAGCTCCAGCTCGAGATAGGCAGCAGCGCTACTTTGGGACGCCAGACCTCTGCCAAGTCAATTAGAGCAAGGTTGCATTTATTCATCGTGAACTCTATAAAAACGAAAGAAAATACATATTTTGCTCCTTGTTTCTCATCTAAATTGCTACCGCTCATCAATTGACCGAAATCAGTTTGGGTCAATCTTCAAGTCAGCACGTCAAACGACATGGCAAACCGCACTTGCAAACACACATCCCTCTACTTGGATGTCTCGCCGCACGCGTCTAAAGCCGGATTCAAACGTCCAAATAGGAGACAGCGCATCTCAGCGGCAACTCAAGAAGGACGCGCTCTCAAAGAGTTGGAGCTCCTAACCAGCAAAGAGCTTCTCGAAGATGAAATGGCCTTTCCTGGACCGCTGGTTCTTCCTGGTGACGATCTAGCTGAAGACCCAGAGTATCCGCCACAAGATTTCAACGAGTGGAGAGATGAAGAGGAAAGGAACCCGGTGACTAAAGAGAGGAAAACAATCTATATTGTGCCTAGTCCTTTCATTGAGAAAAGCGTCTCCAAGATGCAGACATGGTCGGTCTGTACTGCAGCAAAGGAACAAGACGCACAAGTGGCCAGCCCTCCAGATATCCAAGACATCGTGGAATATCTATCGGCATTTTTCTACGGCATGGACGTCAAGATCTTCGACCAGCCCTTTCACTGGCATAAATGGGAAAGCTACGACGGCACCGTCTTGAAGAACTCAAACACAGAGAAGCGAATTGGCCTCAAGTCTCCGAGCAAAGAGCTCTTTGGAATTCGATGCCGCGCCTCACCAGATGGAGTATCTCCCATGCAAGTCAATCTGAACGACGTCCTGGACGCTCTGGCGGAGAATATCCCCTCTGACGCCCATTCAATTATGATACTGCTAGACCAAGACATGTACGAAGGCGACGGCGACGGCGACATCTTCTGCGCAGGACGAGCATATGGAGGCAGCCGCATCGCAGCCGTCTCCACGTTCCGGGACCAGCCCTCCTGTACGCCAAAAGATAATGGCCACGCATGGCCATCCTCACACTGCGCAGCATACATCAACCAGCTCTGCCATCTTCAGACCTATACAACTAAGCCACAGCCCGTCCAACGCAAACCCAACAGCGGGCCTCTACACGCGGCCATAAAAGCCACTACTACCTCCGCCCGTCACGAAAGCAGCAGCATCCCGTCGGAAGCCCCTACCGCCCAGTGGCTCGGAAGAATAGCCGTCACCATGGCGCACGAGCTGTGTCACTGTTTGGGACTGGACCACTGCGTGTACTTTGCGTGCGCGATGCAGGGGTGCGGCAGTGTGGAGGAGGCACAGCGGCAGCCTCCGTATGTGTGCCCCGTTTGTCTGGAGAAGCTGGCCGCTGCGATAGGAGAGGAGGTTGTTTCTGGATGGAATGATGAGATATGGAGTATGGCAGTCAGAGAGAAGTATGTGAGGGATCGGTATGAGGCGTTGAGGAAGGCCTGTGAGAGATGGAGCAATCCAAGCATTTCGAGGATGTTTGCTGGGTATAGGGCTTGGCTGGATGTAGTGATTGAGCGAAGTCTGTGAATTCGTTTGTTAGGCTTAATTTATTGGAGAATATAGAGGTTAATTGAGAGTACAGAGTCCATGCTGAAACTTGTAATACGATGTAAGAGCTTGGAGGCAGTTGAAGTTGAAACTTGGGAGTACTAACATCTCATGTTGCTGATGTACTATCCTGATACTTTATGTGAGACTGCAAAGAATCCAAGAGTTGCCTTCTACTACATCTCGCTACTGCAGTCAATATACAAGCACAGCATAATTGTAGATGCATTGCACAATTAGCATCCAGCGACTTACAGTTGTCGAGCAGCTTGATGCATGCACTTACATGGACTTACACCGCCTACATTACACCGATGGGCCACAGAGTCAATAGACATCTCTGTTGCAAGCTCAAACTCTCATTCGATCGAGAAGAAAGATTGCACCTTCATGATTCCAATACCACAGCTGCTTTACAAGTCTTCATGATGACAGCTCCGGATGGTTGTTGATTTCTCGCATCCAGATGGAGATGGACGCTGCTGAGATGCTGAACTGTTTCAATGACTTTACGAGTCGCCAAAACATCAAAGGCCGTGTGGCTCAATGGCAGAGCGTCTGACTACGATTAAGTACATCAGGAGGTTGCAGGTTCGACCCCTGTCTCGGTCAAGATTATTCTTTTTGCTGTTCTTCTCGATGCATTGAGAAGTGAAAACTTGCCTATCCAAGAAGCCATACCGGCAGCCTTGGTTTTCCTTTTCCCCTTTGTAAATTGAATGCTACATCTCAGCATCCAGTATCTTGTTCTGTCAATCATGTACATCGTCTGCCATCCAATGCCTCTCGTCTTGGCTTCCCACTAACAAGCACAATAACGTCGCACCATGTGGGGGACAGCACAGAGCTCGCATGCCACGACAATTACCTCAAACTTCTCCAATTCTCTTCGTATTCTGGAGCAAGTACCGAGTAATGGTGTCGTCATCATTGCCGCGGGACATTCTACAGTACCAGACGTGCCAATTGCTCGCTGCTATGGAGCACTTTAGCTGAGAAAACTCTTCAATTCCAACCCACCATCCTTTCAAGATGTGTGCATCAAGCAACAAATTCGGTGCTATTTAGTAGGATTTTGAATCGGGAGCTCTAAAGTAGGCCGTTTAGTAGCATTCCGAGCGAGCTTCCGACGACGATCTTTTGATCGACCGTCATACACATCAGTCGTTGAAGCCACGACTGTCCAATAACCAGACTGTGGCTTGAAGAGTCTGCGTCAAGGACAAATGTTTCAGCTACAGGCTATTTTCTCTCGCCATGCCCATGCTGCTGGAGTATTCTTCGGGCGCAATGTCAGGGCTTGAGTCACATTCTATTACTGCTAGTGAGCTTCTACTCGTCGGGGAGCAAGTGGACAAAGTGAATAGTAGTTCAATCAGTGCCAGACACTAAGCTATTATCGTCCCAACCTTGGTGGTGATTGGAACGATTTCACATGCTGATGGCCACACGTTTCCCTCCACGCTCAAAAGGGAGGGAAGCACACGGTGTACTGCTACATGTGCACGAGTAGCTATGAGTGATACCCGTTGCTACCACACATAGGTCTTGCCTGCAATCAGCTCTGAGGAGCTGCATCTCGCCTGCTCAATGGTACACGTTCATACAGCCAATTTGTGACCTGAAACAATATCATGCATGCACGTACGAGAGCCCGGAAAGGCCTGTTCCCGAGAGCACACCACCGAAAGGCTGGACTTAAATGAATCGCACATGTCCTCCTCGTACCGACGGCGGACACAGGAAGCAAGCAAGACGCGCAACCGACCAAAGTGGCCTTGATCTCTCCACCTCAGCCTAGCCCACATCGCTACGCAAAGCGGGAGGGCTTCCGACGATCCACAACGTTGACGTTCGCCCTATGGAAGCCGCACACAAATGCAATGCGCCGATGCAATGAGACGCTGCTGCAGAAATTTTCTTCTCTGCCGTCTTCCAACCAACGGCCGTCCGTCGCGAATAGACAGGCCGTGGGGCATGCTATCTCGCAGCAAGCAGCGGCGAATTAGGACTCGCCACACTTTGGCGGAGCGTAGGAAGACAAGAGTTCCAGTTTGACGCAAGCTCGACCCATGTCCAGCGGTGAGTAGACGGCCGTGCAGCAGCGTGAGGCCATTGAGGAGCTTCCACTGCCACTTGGCAGGCCTCAGATTGGCTCGTTTGTATTCACTGCAGGCTGGATATGCCAGCACAGGCTGCTTCTGCTGCTTCTTGCTGGGTTCTCGATCCGTACAGCTGTGCCCGGATCACACAACTCGATCGAGCATGGTCTCTTGAATAGCCAGCCACTCACGTCTTGGTGGTTATTTATAGCCGGTGGAGCGAAGAGCGGCGCTGTCGACTCGGGCTATACGGTGGGATTAGCAGACGGCCGAACGTTTAGCAACGGCGATATCTTCAAGCGACTCTAGTCATGAAAAACGGTCTTGCTCATCCACAATTCGCGCCAAACTCGGTGTCAGAAACTGTTAGAAGCAGCTTCATGGCTGGGTTAAAAACGGGGAGATAACGGAGACAGCAGAAGAGCTTTACGAGTTTCTGCGGAAGAACCAAAGTTCCAGCACCGGCGCCCTTTCAACGTCCAGCCACAGTGGAGCAGCAGGCATCTACAGCGCTATTACAGTGAAATTCAGTTGAACTGAAGACCTAGACTGCTAGAGCCGGAGCAAAAAAAGTTTTCGTTTTTCTGTGCTGAAAGTTTACAAGCATGTGAGAGATAATACTCCGAAGAGGCGAAACAAGATATACAACCGGGAAGAATAAATGAAAATAAATGAAAATTTTTCATTCTCTCGGGCCATCATTGGTACTCTGGTGGCCTGTGATTGATGCGGCTTGCAAGCATTGTGCAGCCGTAGGTCTTTTTGGCGCGCGTAAAAGGCTGCGTCTCTAGCATGCTGATTGAGAAAAGCCCCCTTCGTCAGAGGCTGAGTGTCAATGTGTGGTGGATAATCTGGTCTATAATTCACCTATTTTCGCGTCGTTTAATTTCGGCACAGAATCTTATCTTAATAGGGTAATATTAGCAGTGTTCGAGGAGTCTCCTCACAGCTATCCCCATCCTTGATGCATGCTGCTGATGTTGTCTAAGAGAAGAATCTTGGTACAGCTATTTCCAGTCAGCCCTCATATTGTTTAATAGTACTCCGTCTTAGCAACCATAGACACTTTGGCCGAGTGGTTAAGGCGATGCCCTGCTATCAATCAGGTATCTTAGGCATTGTGTTCGCACGCGCAGGTTCGAATCCTGCAGGTGTCGGTTACTTTTTTGCTTTTTTGTGCTAAGCACTTACAAAAAATACTTGCTTGTAATTGCCATCTCTTCTATTTTCTTGCCCGTTGGATCTGTGCAATATCCCGATATCACACTCATTTTCTCATTTTCATCCTTTATTACATGTACCCTCCCTCCATCTCCAATTTCCAGGAAAAGAAAAAGCAACTCAAGCTTTTCTGTTGGGTCCAGCAAGGCCATGGCATAAAGCTGCTTGACCAGGGCTTGAGCCGTAATCCCAGCAAATGGCACGCCTGCCCAGCCCTCCAGCGGCTCGATCTAATGCAAGGTACGCAGAAAATTGAAAATGCCGCTCCTCCATCATGTGTGTGCGGGCAAAGGTCCCGAACACGATTCTAGGCTTGCATGAGCGTCGGCGTCCACGTCTGCATGTGGCTAGAGGGTACTCGTAGGCATCATTTAAAGCTTATGCTACGATGAAGAGATCGAGAGACGATGCTCCTTTGAGCTCTTTGTTCGTTCCTAGATACCCAGTGGCAGGCATAATACATACATTTAGCCCACGGTATGCTCGGAGCCGCGTTCCGTAGACACCAACCCCGGAAACAAACCAGCTTCATTCAAGACGATGCCAATTGGCCGGCCTGAAATGACGACCGCTGCGCCTTGCAGGTACAAATTGGTTCGTCGAGATGCTTGATCGAAAGCAGTAAGAGCTCGCAGAGCTGCCCAAAAGCCACGGCTACTAATTCGTGCGAACTATCCCAACTGGCTCTCTGCCGTTGTGACACCCTCTGCAGCTCAGGTACAGGTACAGATACCTCCCCTCAATATCGTCCCGTCCATCCATCCCGGACGGCAAGACGGAACTTGTCAAAAAGGTGGAGTTGGTAGGGCATCAAAGGATTCATGTGGAGGCCGCTGGACGTGCCTTGGATCTCGCATCGCCAATCAGATGGCCATCCATTGCAGAGTTTTTCCCTATACTTCCCGTTATATACCGAGAGCAAGGATCCCTTTGCATCTTCATATGCCAAAAAGAAAACTGTGCTGTCAAGACAAAAGCACTGCTGCACGACTGCTTCCATATCACACTGCAAAAACCAGGGCAATATCACCCGGACATTGTATGACTGCAGAATGCTGTGCCCATCTCACAGGCCTATTCTTCTACGGTACTAGTATAGTACTGCCCCGAGAATGCTGTGCCCATCTCACAGGCCTATTCTTCTACGGTACTAGTATAGTACTGCCCCGATACTTCCGATGACGGCGACCGCGCGGCATTGAGTGCTACCGCAATATGCCTCGAGTCGAGCCCAAGTGGCTGTACAGTAGAAAGCCGGGTTGAGAATCCAGTAGTCGCAAGCAATGCTACCCCGCTGTCACAAGCCTCCCCCAACAATGGCTTCCGTGAGTGTCAATTTACGCAGAATTGGGAATCAATTGGGCTCAGCCAAGGATCTGAGCATGCCAATGGACTAACAGAAAGAGTTGCCCGAGTAAAGTAAGGCCTTTGGGGGTTCGACAAGGCCCCAACGATAAACTGTACGAAGCAGCCAATTCTTGCACCCGAGACATTTGCTAGCACGCAAAACAGAGTTCGGCTACTGCCAGGCACAGGGCTTTCTAATCGATGCAACTTCAGCCCGTTTCCGGGGTGGATTGGCCAACCACATGGCAGCCCTGCCCACCACTTGGCTCCCCACTTGCTTATTTGGTACGACGTTGCTACGATATCCGG